AAAATTAACTAAACAAATACTTGGTCTGAGTTTTGTCTGTAATAGACAAAATAGTAGCCAATAAATTACTCTCTCTCTCTCTCTCTCTCTCTCTCTGTGTGTGTTTAAAGAAAATCCTAATATCTAATTGGTTGGAAGATTGCCTTGACGTAGTCCATGTATGAAAGATCCCATTTAAAACCTAATTCTGTTCTATTTAATCAGTATTTACTAGTTACCATTTAACCTTCTCTGCATTCCATAGCTCAGCTCCATATGCCCTTCCACACCCTCTACCTCTGGATTACCTCCTCTTCACCCAGACTACAGGCTGGGGCCCATCTCTAGCCTTAATCAAAAATGGACATCAAATCAGAGTCTCGTAAAACCACCATTCAGATAGAGGAACCTGAATGTGCCCTTTTCTTCTTCCAGTGTGCTTCTATAATCAGATTTCTCGTATTTTATGCTTGGACAAACATTTTCTGTACAGAAGATGGATAACTTTAAAGCTGTTGTCCAGAGCCTGCTTCAGTAACATATAACTTTATTTTAAGAGAGACGGACAGAACACAGCTTGCTTATCAGTCATGTTCATGGTGCTGCTCTTCACACCACTTGGAACATCTCCCATTGCAGATATAGCAGCAGATTTTAGCCTCTGCTAAGGCTTTTTTGCACCACTCAAGCAAAAAGCCGCCTTAAAGCTCGTTTTAACCAGCTTCCAGGGTATTCAGAAGAGCCTGCCTAGCCTGGTTAAGATATCAGGGCACAGCCAGAAGAAGTGTATGTGGCCAGGAGCTGCAATCTTCAGTTGATCCCTGGCTGCCAGAACAGTCCATGAGAACCACAGGCAGTGGGTCTAAAGTAGTTGATCTAACGTGCAACAGGAACTGGACCGGCTTCTGGTGGCCCCAAAATACAGGCAATGCAAACGTGACGTACAGGAGCCTTTTCATTTTCTTCCTCTCCAGAGCTGCACCCGAATGTGTGGCTGATCCCCAGCCTTTAGCCCACAATGAGGTAGATCACCTCCAAGTGCCTTCTCTATATGAAATTACTGAGTTGTAATAAACCTCTCTGAAAAATATCTTTACAATAAACTATAAAGAAAAACAAAATTAAAGTGATGTTAGGGCTCTCACTTAAACCAAGAAAAGGACAGAAAAATGAGATTCAAAGCATTTAAACCAGCTTGACATTTTGTCCTTAAAAAATCACTTTGGGGTTTACATGAGACACCATTATGTGGTTTGGGCTAATCCCTATTGTGACCAAATGGATTTCTTTATTTTGTTGTCAATTTGTTTCTCTAGCTTTAGGGAAATTTTCTACTTTAATCTTTTCTGCCACCCTCTGCTCCCATGACACCACTATGTACCCAAAGTAGGCAAAGGCAACAAAATTATTCACAGATTTAACAATCTCTTTCCAAAAAGCATGGTGCATGAGGTATCTTCCCTTTCATATATTGCTGGTCGTGGATATTAGGCTTTGGGAAATACAGACAAAAGTTGCAATCTCAAGCAATTTTGCAAAATACCTAGTAGTGACTCTGAACAAAACCCCCAGTTCTGAGTACCCTCCAACTTCGGAAAAGAAACAGATCCAAATGTCTGGCTGGTTTGTCACCATAATGGGCTGAATCAAAACCTTGGATCTGAAGACCCTGGACATTTGAATAATTCAGACCCTAATACAATGTTTGCATCTTTGGTCAATCTCTAATTATTCAATTTTTAATTTTCCATTTTGCTTCCTTAGGATAATGATTTTGGTATGTTTTTCTCCTTAACAACATTCATTTTTGTTTTCTGAAACCAAGGTCACTTTTATATACACTTGTGAGATATTTTCCAAATTTAGCTCAGACAAGGCCCCCAAAACACAGTATTAACTAAAAGTTCCACTGACCAATATTGTCCAGTTATTTCCTTATATTCCCCATCTGTCTGTCTCCATATGTTGTCTCTTACTCTTGTCTTATATTTACATTATAAATGTAATGTATCTTTGGAATGGGGACTGTCTTTTTGTTCTGTGTATTGGCAGATAGTCATTTACACAGAACAATTCCCATGTACTCTCAGTGCTCTCTCTGTTTTCAGGGCATGGAATTACATGATGTAAGCGGTGTAAAAAACAAAGATAACATCTACCTTCTGAAATAAAATTTACAGATAAAAAGATCTGATAAAATTGAGATATTTTTCATAATCAGACGTTGTTAAGGTCACATTTCACCCCATCACTCCTGAATTAAGTTAAACACACCACATGAGAGATTCTTGGTGGTTAAACACCAAATTCTGATACCCTTCCTCATGCTGAACGGGGTTTTACTCCACGCCGGGCAGTAAAATAAAATCGGCGAGATTGCTCACAGAGTAAGATACAATTCAGTGTGTGAAAGGGTATTGATATCCAACCCTATGGGATTAGGGACAGCAAGCACAATGGGATTCATGACTAAGGCTCCTAGGTACTATTGTACTAGAATACAAATACATAATAAATAATAAAATAATAATAAATATTATACAGGTATAAATGTGCATCTAATACCATTTCTTCATTTTCAAATTGTGTGTTGTACTGTGCTGCATCCTCGGTCACTGGCTTCAGCACAAGGTTTCTGCAGACAAGCCATATGGTCAAGCTAGCAATGAACATCCCGATATCTGGTACAAACACTCTGATCACGTTGCCAGCATCGGCTCCCTTCACACTGTATGGATTGAAAAAAAACAAAGGAAACATTGGTTAGCTCCAATTCTGCATTGGCTTGAAATATTAAGGTAACTGGACACCATTCTTTTAAAAGAGAAGGAGAGTACACCTCCCAGAGTGAAAAGAGTGAGTAGTTTGTACAGCGGTGACAGAATGCCTGGTGCCATGTAATTACAGTATAAGTGATTCATTCCTAATAGCGTGTTCTTGTGCAAACATTCCAGCACATTGTTTGGCTGATCAAAAGTCATTTTGTAGATCCTAAAGTTATTTAGTGGAGAGAGTAAACTGCCCTAGAATCAACATTAAAATCGGACGGCTCTCCATAAATCTCAGTCCAATTCCAAGAGGACAGATGTGTACAAACACAGTCCCAATCATCACCCTGGGTGGTATTCCTAGCAGGGAGAAATGCTACTGCATGGTCATGGAGGTAGAATTACATTCCCACCCACTCTTATCCCTTAATCACCACTGAGACATAGGTGGGCAGTACTGAAAAGGCTGCAGCCCAATGATACACCAATACTATGAAAACTGAATTTCATTCTCTCTCTCTTTCAGGAGTGCTACATTTACTTTAAAAGATATGAAAAATAAAATATTATATTTGTTTTCTTTAACCAGATCCTTTAAATACCACTTAATCTTTTTTTTTGGCCTCTATTATGAAACTTTAATGAGCTATAAAATTGTATATCTATTGGAGACCCCATGATGCATACAGTATTCAGGAATACATACAAGCTGTATGTCATTTTCCTTTTACTACTTATCACAAAAGCAACAGTTTAACCCTTAAGAACTAATTAGAGAGAAAGTGCCATGTCTTTCCTTAGGACTCCCACTCCCTGTTCCTAAATACTTGGATAGCTCAGTGAATTTAATGGAAAGTACACAATACGCTGCACCGTGCAAATTGAAACTGTTTTGTCTGGGGACTATTACCTCTATGGGTTTGGATGCTGCATCTGAATGTGATTCATTTTATTAACAGAATTTAGACTTGCATTTAGTTGACACAATGACTGGTTTATTTAAGCTGCTGCATTGACTTCCTACACTTTTTAACTACAGTACTAACAGGATACAAGCTTAATTATTTCAAAGTGTACAGTGTAAGGCTGCCAAGCATTAAGTTAGCACATTTCAAAAAGACAGTTTTGAGATTAAGTGACTTTTTAAAAGGATACACGTCTAGAACTATTTTCAGGGTTAATGACTGCAATGGATTCTGGGAACACACAGGGTACAGATGAGTAGGCTAAATTACCAGCTCAGTGCCTGAACTGTACGAGTTTAAAAAAAATAAAAATAAAATAAAACCGGATGCATTTTTAGGGTCTATTAAAAATTATTATCTCTGTCTTTCTGTGTCTATATTCTAGCAGCAGAAGAAATCTTTGCTAAGGTGCAACTGGTAACTGGGTATCAGTCCAGTATTTTTGGAGTCATCAAAATACCTCTAGCGTCACTGCTACAAATCACTGCTTTACATAGAAAAAGAAATACATAATTGCCTACAGGACTCTTGCCCATTAATGCACACACACAGGGTCAAATCCTACAGTTTTTAACTCAGGCAAAACTCAAATTGGACCTGATTTTTCACTGCCTCACACCTTGTTTGTGCAAATCAGATACAAAGTGCTAAGAATTAAGATTGTTAGCTTTTAACACCCACTTTTCACAGGTGTGATGGGAACGACTACACATAGTGCAATATGCTGCTCGAGCTAGTGTGCTAAAATAGCAGTGTGGATGTTGTGCCACTGGAGGTGGCTTGGGGTAGCATGAGTCCATCTACACAGGCTGAGAGTCATACTTCCCAGCTGCAGGGTAGTCATCCCCTCAAGCCTTAAGTCCGTTCTTTATCTCTGGATTCAAATAGACTTGAACCCAACTGATTATGTACCTTCCAGAGAAAGTTCATGACGACTTGAGGACTTATTTGCAAAAGAAAAAGAAAAGAAAATAGAACCTTTGTAAATTATTTCAATCTTCCTGACTTGTGAATCTCTCGGCTATTACACTCTTGCAATATTAAACTGGAGTGATCATGCATTATATCAGACACACAAAATGGGTGAGATAATATCTCTTATTGGACCAACTTCTGTTGGTGAAAGAGACAAACTTTCAAGTATCACAGAGAAGGAAGCTTGTCTCTTTCACCAATAGAAGTTGGTCCAGCAGGAGAGTATCTCACCCACTTTGTCTTTCTGATACCCTGGGACCAAGATGGCTACAACAACACTGCAAGCACGCATTCCATGACAGCTGAGTATCTTGAAACTGTTTTGGCCAATGCTTTCAAGCGGTACTATAGCAGAGAAAAAAGGCTGACGTGTCCAAGAAAGGCTTGCAAGACAGTCAACAGATTAAATTAGCCTCTTTATTAGTACAGCACTGGCATATTTCCTGTGCTGCTGTTTCAATGCTATAGAACTGAATGGTATATCACAATGTAAGATAATATGTTCAGCACCACAGGAAGTGAAGGCTTTATAGATGTTAAGAAGTAAATTTCTTGATAGAGATTAACTGGACACACATAACATCAGGATTGCAAGATTCACTGTTAAAATGGATCTGATCTGTTCCCGTGAAATAATTCTGTGAAGGGACCATTTCAATGCACACTTAGTGAGACTTTTCTAGAAATAAAGCCACTACAAAATGTGTCTTATTGAGGCTTAAAATTCAATTCCATTGGATCCAATCAGCTACACTAGGATAGATTAAAAAGGTGATTTTAACACACCAGTAGTTCTCAGGAGTATATACCTCTATGGATCCTGGCCCTATCTCCTCTGCAAATCACATTCCAGAAAACAAACATGAAAGTCTGTTGTGACAAAGTTTTGTGTGCTGTTGCTCACAGTTCCTTTTACTAAACAAAATCAAGTGCCTGTAGTATTTTACAAAATGCAAAATGAAATGTGATATTATGAGAAATGGGATTTAAAACAGGAGTTAAGACTAGGACGCCAAAGCCCATACTGTAATACTTGGGGCCACCTGCACAACGAAAAGAATGGAAAGGATTTATAGATTGACTGCAGTTTTTCTACACTCCTTAAGGACTCCATTCACACATGGCCATATTTTGCTAACAGTCTATGCATTGTGTTCTCCATTCCCAAAAGAGCCTCGTTGAAGTTTAAAACCAGAATGGACACGAAAGCATATACAGCATATGTCCCTAAGAATCAACTTCCCCCTGGCAAGAATCATTGGACAACGAATTGGCAAGGACCTTGATCCCTAGTTAGCATGGCACCATTCATTTGGCTAAACTCAAGAGTTTGCCTTTAAAGGCTAATTTTTCTATTAACACAGACTATTTTCAGGAGTTTATAACAAAGCCATAAACATGTCTGGGGTGAAATTTGAGGTAATCAACATAAACTTGAAAGATTTTTTTCAATATTTAAAGAAAAATGGGCTAGACCACTTAAAAGGTTGCTCAGTAGGAGGGCCAAAAAATAAGTTAGGGATTTGAAACATTAGTTGACCATATAGAATTGACTGCACATTTTTGAAGACACGAATAACTGTTAGGGTTGCCATAGCTGCTTTTTTATTCTGGGGGACAAAAAAAGACATGCTATGACTTTCACATCCATATGTGAAACTTATGTCACTATCACATCAACATGATTCCAAAACAGAGTTTTCCTCATCTGTCCATCTGAATCCACCTGGTGTATCTAGTGTTATACTTAGATTATAAACTTTTTGTGCATGGATCATCTTTTTGTTCTGCATTTGTACAGCGTCTAGCAAAAGATGTTCTTGGTTTACTGGGGCTCCTAGGTGTTACTACAACACAAATAAGAAAAATAATATCCAAATTACATTTTCTATTTTAGGTGTCCTGCAATCTAATAACTATTGCTTCTAGCGTGCAATCCTACAGACATCGTATTGATTTTGTGGAGCAGGGCAGAACCAGTAAGCCAAAATCCAGATCCAAACACCCAGTGAAAAAAGTCAGGAAGACATTGGGAAGATGCATGAGTGAGAAATCCTTTCCCAAGCTGAGGTGCAATACAGAGATGTGGGGCCCTTATGCAGTACCCCTGTAGCTAGGGAGTGGAGGAGCCATACATGCTTTTGTCCCTGGCCCCATGCAGTGAAACGATACCAATTCCTATGCACTAAGGCTCTGGGCAGCTGTGGATGTGAAGGGGCTGCATTTGCCCCTTAAGGTATGAAAGTGAGAACTTGGCCCTTAAACTGCAGCCATACTTTGAAAAGTGCTGTTTTTAGAATGACACCAGGATCTTCTATATCTATTGTCTCTAAGGGCTTGCCTGAAAATAGCTGTGTAGAAATTGCTTTGACATTGCAACTCGGGCTGCTGCTCAGGCTCTAAAGCCCTCCTCCTCCCACCAGGCTGACAGCCCAAGCCAGAACGTCTATACCACCATTTTTACCATGCCAGCACAACCCCCACTAGTGTGGGCCCAGGGGTGGGAGGCTTGTTCCCAGATGCCGTGTAAATATAACTTAAATGAGATAAAATATGCTCAGTTTAAAATAAACAGATTATGTATGTGTGTTTGAAAGGGTGCGTGGGATTTTTGAAACTATAACACAGGGATTTCAACTTTTTTAGATTTTAAACTTCAAAAGAGAATTTTTAAGACAGGTGATTTTGATAGTTATGTGAAAAAAGGAAACGTCTGTTTGCTAAAGCCGCTTGTAACATGCGGCATAAACAGATTAAATTATTAGATCGATTTAACAGGATTCCAGTGTGTGGAATTAAATTGGTGGGTCTGGGCATTAGCTCACTGTTGGCAACATGTATGTAAGCTTAGATGTACTCCCTATTATTTAAACACAAATTAAATACCCATAAGAAACTAAATCAACATAGTTTCTATTTGTTATATTCACATTATGATTTACAAATCAGTGGCAATAAAATTACAGGTTTAGCTTTCCAGGACAGTTCTTTCTCTCCAATTAGATTGAATTATTTCTTGC